CCCCAAAACCCCAAAACCCCAAAACCCCAAAACCCCTCTAATCTTTCAAAATATAAACCATTATACAAAATGGAACCTAATTCCTTCCAAAGCTCTAAAAAAGGAGCAGAAGTAAGTACCTTTAGCCTCGGGGTTCATGTGCAACTCCTCTTTGTATAGGAAGATAAGCGAGACATTACGGGAAATCATTATGAATATGAAGTGGGAAGTGATCGGACAATAAATACTAGTGAATATGAGGACTCATCGTTCAGTGCTTGTATCATGAAGGAAGAGAAGTCAGACAAGGAACAGGATGGAGGCCTTGAGGAGATATAAAGAATCAGAACTCTGAGGAGGAGAAGAAGATCATTTATTTTGAGGATTCTAACGAGAAAGATAGCGTTAGAAGAAAAGATATAGGTAGGAAATTTTATTTTTAGGATTTTGAGTTTATGCTTAATCAAATGAAAAGATCGCTAAGAACTAATTTGATACCCAATTTCCTTCCCTATCTCTTCACCCTTCCAGCCTATTTCTCCCATTCACCCACTGCCCCTTTCACTAGTGCCACCTACATCCTTCAAACGAAGGTGGGGTCCCCCAGTGAGTCCCTGAATAAGCATGGAAAGGAAAAAGTCAGAATGGGCTGTATGAGGATAGGAAACTCAAAGAAGTTATTCTTATTAGAAAAACCTAAAGATCTTTAACAATTTATTATAGAAGATCATAAGAATGAGATGAACTTACCACAAATTGATGATCCAGATGCCAATCAGAAATAGAAGATCAAAATCATGTCCGACATCACACAAATGTGGAACAAAAAAGAATTGAAGCAACTCGTCTCTTGATCGATCCATTTCAGAGGAGTTTGTACACTCCTCAGAAACATCTAATCAAAAAATTACCTCAGAATGAGTAGAGATAAATTCAGATAGCTACTTAGAAACTTCTTTAGCCTCATTTTACTATGAACTTTCTGCCTCTAATTCAAATAAAACTTGCACTGACAAAACATACGATGGTGATCTCTGCATCTGAGACCCTGGAGAGATAAGCTCTACAACTTCCTTCTATTGCAAAAGCTTAAGTCTGATGTGAACCACATCCCTCAGATCTACCATTTCAACCACATCAACAAAGTCTGAGCCTTTACAGACTCTGAGAACCTTAAATGACTCTATGTCACCCCTAACACCTACAGATGAGAATAATTCCCCAAAAGCCTACTCGACTTCAGGTTAGTAAGCCAGAGGGAAATTATGCTGCTCGTCTTGATAAACCAGCTTTGACTCCATTATGATCAAAGCAATGAATCTCTATTCGAATTCATCAAGATATTTTAAAGAACGGTTATATTCCATGAACCATATGTTTTATGGGGTTTTGGGGTTTTGGGGTTTTGGGGTTTTGGGGTTTTGGGGTTTTGGGGTTTTGGGG